CGATTTGGATTCCGATCTCTCGTTGGAGGCCTGCTAGCCTGCCGATTTCCGACGATTCGACTTCTCCCGAGTCGGCTGCCGATTTCCGCCGGTCCGATCCATTTGCCACAGACGTTCGGGCCGCAACTCGGTCCTCCAGTGGCCGTTCGGGACGATCTGGACACCCCCGGAACGCTCTCGACGAGGCGCAGCCGCTGAGAGGCATCGCGAGGCTGGCAAACGCCAGAGCACCGACGAAGCCGCTGAGAGGCATTTCGATTTCGAGGCTGGCAAACGCCCAAGAGCCGACGAAAGCGTCGGACGACGACGACGGCGACGACGACGACGACCACGACGACGTCGACGAAGACGACGACGACGACGGCGACGACTTCGATCGCCGATCCGACTTCTCCAGTCGATTCGGGACGGGGGGCGGCCGCGCCGCGGCGCGTCCCAGGTGAGCGATGGCCAGACGGCCGACCTCGACCGGGCCGAGGTGGAGCTCGGCGCCTGCCTCTGGCACGACACGAACCGCGCGGCCCTGCGCTTCCTGGAGCTCTCGAGCGGGGGAAAAAGCAGCCCGCTGGCCAGCGTGGGTCCCAAGGGGTGCGTTCTGGCAGGCTGCGCGGTGCAGCCCTGCGTGGTGCAGTCGATGTGGCGCCATGGTTTGGTGCAGCCGAGCGGAACCTTGGTGCTTGAGCCAATGAAAAAGAGGAGGGAAGGGAGAGGGAGCTAGCAAAGATTCGGAGGATGAGGGGGGGGAGCCGCTGCGGGCCTGGCTGGGGCGGTACGAGTTCAAATTTGGGATGGGCGGTGGGGCAGACCCGCATGCAAACTGCAACACAGCAAAGGAAGCGGTCAAGTCCGGGTGGTGGTGGTGGTGGTAGATCCTAGCATTCTTTTAGCAAGGAACAGATACATGGTGTAAGCCACGTGGTGCAATCTACGTGGTGCAGTCGAACTACGTGGTGCAATATACGTGGTGGAACCCATGTGGCGCAATATACGTGGTGGAATAGGTTGTTCCCCAATCAGAGCTTGCCTCTGTAGGGGTCCTAGCGGATTAAAGGGTTAGGTGAGGTTCGTCGCCGATTTCGGTGGCCGGGCCCGGGTGCCCGGCGGTGCCCGGGTGCCCGGGTGGCTGGTGAGGTGCGTGGCCGATTTCGGTGGCCGGGCCCGGGTGCCCAGGTGCCCGGGGGTGCCCGGGTGCCCGGGGGTGCCCAATAGCCCAGTAGCCCTATAGCCCTATAGCCCTATAGCCCTATAGCCGTATAGCCCTATAGCCCTGTAGCCCTATAGCCTTATATCTTTATAGCCCCAATAGCCTTATATCCGTATAGCCCTATAGCCCCATAGCCCATACAGCTCTATAGCCCCATCGCCCTATAGCCCTATGGCCCTATGGGTCACAGTCCTATAGCCCGAAAGCCCTATAGCCCGATAGCCCTATAGCCCGATAGCCCTATAGCCTTATAGCCCTATAGCCCTATAGCCCGCCCTATAGCCCGATAGCCCGAGAGCCCTATAGCCCGATACCCCTATAGCCGGATAGCCCTATAGCCCATTGGTGCCTGCCGCTCCGGCCGATTACAAAGGGAGCAATTGGATGATTAAAACCGGTGCCATTGCACACGACGTGACACATTCCATGCGCTGCAAACATCCCACCCACCAACCCGCAATTTGGTTTGCTAAACCCATGCGGCGGCGATTGCGATGAGTGCTTGGCGTTGTCTGGTGCATCTCTGCGGTCGCGCTAGCCCGCGCATGCTCGCGCGCACAGCGGCCAGATAGTTTGGCGCGACCGACGCGGCCGCGGTGGCGCTGACCGCTGGGCATTTCCCAGCGGGCATTTCAGTGCGAGTCGGTGACTTGTGCGGGCGCGGTATCATGGCGACACCGTTCACGGTAGACACGGATATGTCCGAGTATGGGACTAGCGATGATGGTGGCGATGGTGGCGGTAACGACGGCAGGGCCAATGACGGCGCCGATGTTGATCACGCCCGCCGATGGCGAGGAGGATGTCCCCGCGTCGGCGATGACAGTTTTTGAAGGAGTTCGACATCCTTGCGCGGCCGACTGACGCGCGCGAGAGGCCCGCGTGGTATTATTTGACACGGATCGTTCCCCCCCCCAGCACGCGCGCAAGGGCGTTCGATTGAGTTCGACATGCGGCACGAGAGGCCTGTTTGGCAGAAGTTGATGAACCTGTTGAACAAACCTATGGTCCCCCGAAGAATACGCAAGAGCACGAGCGCAGGGACACGTTTTAAACTGATGTTGCAAAACCGTGTGTTTTTTGTTTGAAATGCGTTCGGGACGCTCGTTCTTGACATCCTCACGAAACCTGAGGTGTTTGAAAGATGCTGGCATGCGCGCGCGACGACGCGCGCGCGCGCACTGCGTCCCATTCGCTGCAAGGGTTCTTGCGACAGCACGCGCGCAAGGGCGTTCGAACGATGTCGGCATGCGCGCGGGAGGCCGTTCGGTATCATGTTATGAACACGTTTACACATTTATGATTGCCATAACAATTCGCAAGAGCGCGGGCGAATGTTTTTTTCGAGTTTTGAAAGCTGATGTTTCAAAACCATGTGTTGATGTGTGTTGATATATGTCTTTGGGTCTCTCGATTTTGAAACCCTGACGAAACCGAAGGTTTGTTTCACGGCTTTCGGCATGCGCGCGCGTCGACGCGTGCGCGTGCACTTCGTCTTGTTTTCTGCAAGGGATTCTTCAACACCGATGATAATTAATGATGTTTGATAAACGGGCGCGCGCGCGTACGGTATTTGCTGCGGAGCACGAAGAGGGGGCGAACTTTTGCCTGGTTGGGATGGTTCGGATTCATATTCAGGGTGGACGATAGGGCGTAATCATATCTAAATTGCAATGCGAATCGTTGGGCCGTTAACCCGGGGGGGTAAATCCTAATTCTTTGTGAGAAAAGGAGAATCTACGTGGTGCGATTTGCGTGGTGCTAGGGGTTTTTACAAACAAGCGAACATACCCCACGCCATTGCGAAAATCCCACCCACCCACGCGCAACTTGGTTTGCAAAACCGTATACGGCGGCGATTGCGACGAGAGCTTGGCGTTGGCTGGTATATCTCTGCGGCCAAGCTAGCCCGCGCATGCTCGCGCGCGCAGCGGCCAGCTAGTTTTGCGAAACCGACGCGGCTGCGGTGGCGCTGCCCGCCGGGCATTTCCCAGCGGGAACTTCAGTGTGAGTCGGTGACTTGGGTGGGCACGGTATCGTGGCGACGCCAACGACGGTGCGCGCAATTATAAGAGTAGCAGTGACGTTGGCGATGGTGGTGGTGACAAAAGCAAGGCCAGTGCCGGCGCTGATGTTGATCACGCCCGCCGATAACGATGACGATGTCCTCGCCTCGGCGATGGAGATTTTTAAAGGAGTTCGACATCCTCGCGCGCACGACGCGCGCGAGCGTCCCGCGTGGTATTATTTGACACGGATCGTGCCCCCCCCCCAGCACGCGCGCAAGGGCGTTCGATTGAGTTCGACATGCGGCACGAGACGGCCGTTTGGCAGAATTTGATGATCACGTTGGAAAACCGATGGTTCCCCGAAGGATTCGCAAGAGCGCAAACGCAGGTTCGTTTTGAAAACTGACGTTGCGAAACCGCGTGTGTTGTTATATGTTTTCGGGGCAATCGATTTTGACATGTTTGCGGAACTGACAGTTTTTCCATGGATCTCGGCTTGCGCGCGCGACGACGCACGCGCGCGCGCATTGCGCCCCATTTGTTGCAAGGGGTTCTTGCGACAGCACGCGCGCAAGTGCCTTCGAACGATTCTTGACACGCTCGCGCGAGAGGCCAATGTGGTAGCATGGTATGAACATGTTTACAAACTGACGGTTGTTTTTACAACTCGCAAGGACGCGGTCGCATATTGTTTTTGAAAGCTCGTGTTGCTAAGCCATGTGTGTTTGCATGTTTTCGTCACACTCGATTTTGAAACCCGGGCCAAGCCTACGGTTTTTTTCAGGGATTACGGCATGCGCGCGCGACGACGCGCGCGTGCGAACTACGTCGAGTTCGTTTTGCTGTTGCAAGGAGCTTTTGAACAAATGACGGTTTCTGATAAACGAAAGCGCGTGCACATATATATATATATATATATATATATATATAATATAATATATATATAATATATAATATCATATTACATACCAACTACATATATTATATTATATATATATATTATATATATATATATATATATAGTGCAGTGCAGAGATGGCGGGGGGTCGATACCGCTTGGGCTGGGATGGTACGGTTCATATTCAGGATGGACGATGGGGCGGAATCGTGCGCAATTTGCAATACGAAAAAAAAGGAAAAGGCGGGTAAATATGGGTGGGGGGGAGGTCGATCCGAATTCCTGTTTTTGGAAAGGAGAAACTACGTGGTGCAATGCGACGGGCCGCGACGGCTGGTCACAAGGCGGCGGCACTGGCAACCAGGCCCACTTCCTCATGAGAGAAGTAGGAACCCCTAAATGCAAACACTGTTTGAAACATTGTTTGGGGAACAAACCGCATGAACATGAACTTCAGGGGCTCCGTGCGGATTTCTGGGACTGGCGCTGGGCCCCCCTGGCGCCGCCACTGGCGCGCCCCGCGCGCCAACGAAGGGGGCGCAGCGCCGATCCAAGAATTCCGCGCAGAGCTCCAAAAGTTTGTGTTTCTGTCGTTCGCTGCTCCTCCAGGAGCGGCGCTTCCCGACCGGCTGCGCGGGGCGGCGTGTCCTGGAGCTGGGCGCGGGCGCGGGCGCGTGCGGGCTGGCGATGGCGGTGGACGGGGCGGACGCCACGCTCACCGACGTGGAGGGCCTGGTGCCGCTGCTGGCCCTCAACGCGCGCGAGAACGGCCTCGCGGCGGCCCCCTCGCTGCCGCCCAGCGCGCCGGAGGCGCCCGACGCCCTGGAGGCGGCGCCGCGCCGGGCGCGGCGGCAGCCGGCGAAGAAGGGCCGGCGGGGGGGCGACGAGCGCGACAGCGACGCGGAGGAGGCGGCCGCCGCGGCCGCCGACGCGGCGGCCGCAAGGGGCCCGTCCGCCAAGGAGCGGCGCGCCGCGCGCGAGGCCGCGCGCGCGGAGAGGAAGGCGAGGGCGTCGGCCCCAGGGGGCGCGGAGGAGGGCGCCGAGGAGGGCGGCGCAGAGGGCGCCGCCGCCACCGGTCCGGGCGAGGTCGGCGGGGGCCCCCCCCGGGGGCGTGTGGCTGCGCAGGCCGCCGAGTGGGGGGAGGAGGCGCGGTGCCCGCGGCTGCCGGCGGGGGCGTTCGACGTGGTGTTCGGGCGCTGCGAGATTGGGTCGGGCCGGACGAAATGGGGGGATAGGGAAAGGGGGGGTTACGAAATCTGCCGCATGCAGCTGGTTTCAGCCCACCGAGGGGTCCAGTCCTCGATACATGGCCGCCTCGGGCGCCGGGAGGCGCCGGGAAAATCAGCTACGTGGGCTGATTATCAAACCCACCCTTTGCTATCCCCCCCTTTCGCCCGGTCCGAGTGGGGGGGGACGAATGCGGGGGTGAAGACGAGTGTCAGCCAGGGGCGCTAGAAGGTGCCCTAAGAGACTCAAAAAGGGCACGACTGCTGCATATTCCTTCGCCCCCTTTAAATGAGGCGCACGTTTCTGAGCCCCCCAAAACGGGGCACGAAAAGTGCACGTTTTGTCGCCCCCTCCATAAAGCAACGCCCGAGGTGGTGGTGTGCGACTGCCTGTACGAGAACAGGGGCAGCTGGCCCGCCCTGCAGGCCATTCTGGAGCGAGCGCTGGCGCCGGGGGCGGACCTCAGTGGCAACGTCGGTTCTCGGCGGCTTTCTCGGGGGCGGACAGACCTCCTACCCTGACACGTCGATTAGCGAATTGGCCGTTTCCGGTTCGCGAGAGGGCGTCGCGGCCGCCATTTTTGCGGGTCCAGGTCCGTCGGTTTCGGTCCCAGGCCGTTGTCACTAAAGGGCGGTGTGCTACACGGAGGTCTGTGCACCGCCGATGTTCCAGCTTCGGGATGCGCGCGCCTCGTCGAAAAGATTACGCCTCGCGATACCACCGCACGGCCTCGGCTTCGTTTCGCTGCACGCCGTGGCCTTTGGCGTACATGACTCCGAGATTGTTCTTCTCCTGTCCTCCCGCGGTGCGGTAGCGATCGGAACCTCTCTTCGGCCTCAGCGACTCCCTCGGTCTCGGTCTCGGTCTTAGGGGGGGGGGGCCGGGTGGTCCCGGCGCCAGCCCCGGGGTGCGTTCCACCAGCTGCGCCTCGCCGGAAGCGTGCTCGGGGTGCCCAGAGCGCCCCAGCGGCCGCCGGAGGCCCGAGGTATCTCAGGAGGGGAAAAATCGGGCGTAGAGGACTATGCACATGCACCGATCCTGGCAAGGCCCACCCTTGACCCAGGATCGGTGCATATGCCTTCCTGGCCAAGGCAGGAGGGCGTATATCCCGATCCTGGGCTCAGGATGGGCCTGGCCAGGATCGGTGTATGTGCATAGTTCTTTTTCCTCTAAAAAAGCGCACAGACACAATTCATCGTCGATTCCCTGGAGCCCAGAAACTGTGGGAACATACGGGGAATCCCCTGCTATGTCTGTGTGTGTTTCTCCGTGTGTCCCCCGGGGCCCCCTTCCGTTCATAGCCCGAAGAAGCCATCGGTGCCAGCGCTGCCGGGGGGGGGAAGGCTCCGGGGGGGGGGGAGGCATCGACCCGCAGTCGCCCGCGGATCGCCGAGGAGGGCCCGAGAGCCCACCTCGCCCTGAGGTTGAGTCGGGCGTGTCCCTCTACGGGGGGGATCTTCAAAAATTGTTCAAAAAATCGTCTGGGGGCGATTGTTTGACCATGCTTGAATCTTTGGAGGGGGGGTATTTTTGGCGCATGTTTGTTTTATCTTTCGCCCAAAATCCCCCCTGTAGGGGGACACGCCCGACACAAGCCTAAGCTGGCGATCTCCCACAAGCCCAGGCGAGTCAGCAGCTACAAAGCAATGTCCAGCGAACAGACCCAGAGGAAAGAAGGTAAGCGTAAACGTTCATCTTCCAGTGACACGCTTCATGTTCACAGGAGTAGTTTGAACCACGAAAAACAATGCAGTTGTTCAATGACGCATCAGTTCCCGAGTACAGGTTTCTGTGACGCCGGTATTCCTTTGTTGCATTGTTCGATGGCACATGGCTTCTCGATAACAGGATCTGCGGAACGACTGAATAGCTAAATCAAATGTTGGTTTTCCAGTGACAGAATGTGCGGCGCGAGGAAGATTGCAGAACCAGCGCGTTGTTCAAAATAACGAAAATTCGGCGCAAAACAAGTTCAACAAACGAGTTCATTACCCAATTCCAATGTTTAACGGCACAGTTGTTTCCCCATGACATGGTTCGGCGACACATGTATTTCCCATCTCATGTGTCAGTGGCACGTCAATGTTCCATGCCGAGTTTCGACGACACGCCGTTTAAAAATGTCGAGTGGAAAGCATGGTTCATGGTGAAATGTCATGTGGAAACATGTGTGTTACAATGTTTTTGTGCGCCGTTCATGTTGCCACTCCAAAGTATGTCACGAAGCGAAGCTATGTGCTCGGCGGCAGTTTTTGCCATTAGAAGATATGTGTCCCCAAACAACGTGGACGAGGACGAGGAGGACGACAAGGACGAAGAGGAGACGGAAGTCTAGGACGAGGAGGGCGAATCCGTGGAGGAAGATGGGGAGGAGGAGGACGACGAGGACGAGTACACTTGGAGCCATCCTGCGAAGACGAGGACTAGGACGAATTCGCGGAGAAGACGGAAGACGACAAAGGGGTGGAGGACGACGAAGAGGACGAAGACGAGGACAAGAGCTATAATGAGAAGGTGGAGAAGGAGGAGGACGAGGACGACGAGGAGGACGAGGATGAGGACGAGGAGGAAGGCGAAGATAACGAGGAAAAGGATGAGGAGGAGGGGGACGAGGACGAGGGGTAGGAGGAGGAGGACGAGGAGGCCGAGAAGGAGGAGGAGGACGAGGAGGATGAGGACAAGGACTCCAGCAACCAGCCTGGTGTTTCCTTGAGGCCCTCCTGGCGTCCTCTGGGGTCACTCGGTGCCCTCTGTGGGTTAATATGAGGGCCATTGGAGGGCACCGATCGAAAGAAGGGGGGTCCGCCTCAAGGTGTGCGGCTCCCCGGTAGACTTCGAGGGGTTCGGGGAGCTCTCTTGGAAGGTTCGTCGATCCTGTAGCCCAGATCTGAATGATTCCTGGATGCTTCATGTTGAGTTAATAGTTCGGAAAAGTTGAAATCAGTAGTGCAAATAAATCTTTCATTTAGCTTTCCAGTGAAGTTCGGGGGGGCTGGAGAGCTCTCTGGGGAAGTTTCTCGACCTTGTTACCCAGAATCGAAGTTCTTCTGAAGGTCATTGGAGGTTTTATTTCGAACTAGTGCCTCGAGCAACCGTTTTCCAGTAAAGTTCGGGGGGGTCCCCTGTAAAAATTCGGGGGCTCTGCAAGGAACATCCGGGGGCTTGTCGTACATATCTGCGATCGACAATCGGTCTCTCCTTCTCCTCCTCCTCCTCCTCCCTCATCCTCTTCCTCCTCCTCCTCCTCCTCCTCCTCCGCTTCCTCCTCCTCCTCATCCCTCCCCTTCTCCTCCTCCTCCTCCTCCAACCAAGACGGCCACACAAGAGCCCAAGATATCCCCAAATAACTCCTTAACGGCCGCATCAGAGAGGCCCCAAGAGCCAACAGGCCTGTCACGGAACCACAGGGCCCCTGACAAGTTGGTGATGGCCGCACGAAGGCCTCGCGACGGAAGACGATCAGGTGGAGGAGGACGGGGGAAAGGTGTCAGAGGAGCCCCCCGCTTGCCCACCACCAACATTCCTTCCTGCCTTGCCTCCTCGTCCTCATCCTCTTCAACCGTCCTTGCTCTTCCTCCTGCTCCTCCTCCTCCTCCTCCTCCTCCTCCTTTTCCTCCTCCTCCTCCTCCTCCTCCTCCTCCTCCTCCTCCTCCTTGTCCTTCCTGAAGATCCACCTGTCGTGGAGTCTCACGAGGCCAGACTTCAGTCTGGATCCACCACCACAGCTTCAAATGCTCGACCATGAGACGCTGGCACTCGGCATCTCGTTACGGGAACGCGCCTTGCACAGGAGCGGAACGTCACGCGCAGCCGCGAATACGCGGGCTGGCGTTCTTCGCAACTGGATCCCAGAGCTCGGACGGGCATCGCTCAAGCTCTTCGAGCGTTTGCACAGAGTGGGAGATCCGCTTGGCGTCAGCACTTCAATTGACGAAGGAGAATGAATCTGCGACATGGGGCGTCGTCTCGGCGCGTTTGCTTTTTTTTTTTTTTTATTTTTTTTTTTTTTTGTTCAGTTGTTTTAAATCTGGCGGGGAAACATCGCTTCGGTTTACCTCTTCGAGTTGCAAAGCGAAGGCGGTTTATGCCACAAGGGGGGGGGGCATGAACCCCCAAACGCCGACGCCTTCGCTTTCGCGAAGCGGGTCGAGCAAGATGCGCGACTCGTTGTGGATACGCACGGGAAGCCTACCATCATTCTGCATCAATTCTTGACCCAGAAGCCGATCCAGAGGATCCAGTCGGGAAGCAACGCGGAACGCGCGCTCTTCGATTGCGTGGATCGAACCTGCGCTGATCTCTCACAGCAGCGAAGGCATCTTCCGTTCGGGGAACGCCGCAAGCACGCCACTCCGTTGCCTTGCCAAGAAGTGGAGCTTCAGACGCGCGCAAGGGCGTCGGCTCGCTCCGGCGGCACCACGGGCGCAGGGCTTCAAGCCAGAGTCCTCGCGGCGCGGCATTCGAGCGGCACGGGCGCTGCGCGCCCGCGCGTGTTCCGACTTCTCCCTTCAACCAGCAGCGCTGCGTCGCTGGCGTCGCCTCGCGGCATAAGCCGCGAGGGTTTCCCGCACTTCCATCCATTCAGAAGTCGCGCTTATTGGCGCAGTCTCGGGCAGCCCGCCGCAACGCGATGGCGACTTCCAACGGAACGCACTGCGCGGAAAGGGAATTGCCAAAAGCGCGCGGGTTTCCCGTGTGCCACTTGCGCCGGGCACTCGGTGAACCATCGCAGTCGCGTCCTAGTGAGGGCTCTAATTAGGGCGAGCTGGTCGAAGGATGCGGGGGCGAAGTGATCGTGTCCCTTGCGCGGGGGCTTGGTATCGCCCCCTCTCTGCCGCCGAACGCCACGGTTCTTCTCGCCGTGCCCGCGCGAGCATTCCGCCTCTCTCTTCGCGCGTGAAAGAGGTCGAGCATGTCGCTGTTGAGCTGGCATCGACCTAGTGCATGCGCGATGGGCAGGGGCAATTCGGAGTCGGACGGGGCCGCGACGCCTCGGGGTTGTCAGCCGCCGCTGAAGGTCAAGGCCGAAGCATCTTCTCGGTTGGCAGCAGCCAGGATGGACTTGACGTCGCGCGGCGCAACTTCGAAGCAGCACTTCCTGGCGGTGTCATCAAGCACTTATGTTGCGACGCGCCCGCCATCGCCGGTCCGACGGGCCCGACGCTCATGAGGAACGGGAAGGGGGTCTCGGTCGACGCCGAGTTTCGGCGCGCACTTGTCGATCCAATCGCGGGGAAGCATCGCTTCTCCATCGACGGCGCTGCGCTTGACGTCTGGTCGACTGGTCTCGAAGCTTTGCCGGCGCGTTTTGTTGTTTTGATCGTTGGGTCTCGCGCCTGCCCTTCCACCTTGCTTGGTCTTGTGCCGCGGTTCAAGCGCTCTTCTGCTTCCGCGGCTCTTCTGGCGCGGGGCCCCCTCCGCGCGCGGCGGAGAAGCCCCTTCCAATCTCCGCGATCGGAAG